CAATCTTCCTAAGATTTATCAATAGCATTAATATCACATTAGTTTCGATGTTTTCTGGAACTTAAGTAGTACTGGGATGAAAAGTAAGACATATGTGTTTGCAAAATGACTTGTACATATAATTTGAAATTAAAATGCATTGATGCATCACTTGATGCTCTAAAAGCTGTTTATATATTATATTACCTTGAGGGTGTGGGTGAGAAGGTGAGTCAATTGAATGAAAATAGACAGACCTATCTCTTGAAGAAAAGACAACTTCAATCTGCTAATCTCAACTTTTGCTTTTCAGCAATCGATTTCTGTTAAGCATAAATAGTTTGTATTAAATATTGTGTTTGTAAATAAAAATAAATGCAGAGTTTAATTCGCCGATGTGTTTCATGTTAGTTTATTTAAAAAGTAAACATTCTTCAGGGCTCTGCAAAACAAATTTAAGCACAAAATAAAGCAAGGAATAAATAAATATTATAATATAAAAATAAAAGGGCAAAAGAGCAATAAATGAAAAAAAGAACTGTACGGGAAAGATAATAAAAGATAAAAAAGAAACAAAGGACAAAATTCAATTTAATAAACCAGAGAAATAATAATATAGTGAATAGAAAAAGAATAAGAAAAACATGAAAAAGGTGGAATTTTTGTTATGAAAATGCTTATTGTTAATATAGATGAAAATAATTTCACACATTGTTTATAACTTATAACTAGTTTGTAATAGAACTTTTATAAACTGTATTAGTATTAGTATACTAAGTTTGGTGATTGACTATTTTTTATGTTGAAAAATTTTTGGAATATTTCTATGAATAAATAAAGATATGCTTATAATTTATTACTTTTAAACAAGCGGTAAACTATAGTCCAATTGACATTGGAATTTAAGTACTAAGAATATGTTTTCAATATTGATTTTATGTGTTTAATAAACAGTTAGTAATCAGCTTCATAATTTAAAAATAATGACAATTGTATTGAATCATTTTGATAGAATTAATTTAAGCGTATGATAACTTGAAAAGATTAACAATTTGTTTTTAAATAATTTGATGTATCATGTATAGTCAATATTATATTTAAGTATCAATATTCAATAAAAGTGTTCTAACAACTTTTTAATATATAAAGTAAAGGTTGAATTATACGATAACTAGAAATATATATAATCTTGAATATTTAATAGCGATTAAAAGTAAAGAGCAATGGTATATTATCAGTATTAAATGTATATATAACTAAATAATAAACTTAGTTTCTAATTAAATAATTTGATGTACATCTTACGATGTTAAACAAAAACAATATAAAGTATAATTATCAAATTTTAATTATAAGGAGGGTGTGGGTGAGTGTGAGTTAATTCAACGAGTATACCCACACCCACACTCACACCCTGCAAGGGGGAAAATGACTGAAATTTTTCATTGCCCTTATGAAAAGATAGAGCAACCTCGACTCTAGATACTATTAAAATATCAGCTTTTTATCTCTGGTTATTATGGAGTTATTCAAAAAATGCCTACGGCCATTTAACTCCGAAATGGAGAATAGACAAAATATCCAGAGAAGTACTTTTTTTTACAGGCACTTTAAGCTAATCTTTCAAGCATTAAAAAGTATTGTAACACAGAAAAAGACTAAATATGCAATACATAAGATGAATTACTTTTTTTATCTTTTCATTATCTGAAGAAAATTCACCTGAATGAAGGCACTTTTGCATATTTTATCTTATTCTATCTTACGACGTATTTTAGTACTCGAAAGATTAGGTTAAAGTGTCAGTAGAAAACTACTGTTGTGTATATTTTGTCTGTGGTATATGTTGGACTGATTAGAAATAGAATTTGATAAAAGCACTTCTGTCAGAAAAGCGTTGCTAGGTAGGACACAGAACTCATAAAGACTTAAGAGCTGCTGAGATCCTGATATTTGGAATCAGTTCAATGAATTGCATACAGTTATATATGTTTCGAAGAGAGCCCGATTAATTATTTAGTTGACATCTCTGGTTAGATGTGTTTGGAAGCGTACACGTAAAAGAAAACAATTGACAAGGGAACATATTCAAGTGTCGGACGCCGTTCGAGCCCATATTTTGGCTACGAGTAGAACTGAGTGAGACTAAGAAAACCCTAAAAGCTTTCGTGCCCATGGCCTGTTCCTGGTGAGATATCAGGTTTTTAGTAAATTTTCGCCATAGCATCCCATTTTTGCAACAAAGTTATACTTTCGAATTTCGCATTGAAACTTTGCCCACATAATGGCCTCAGCTAGACTAGCTTGCATAAAAAATTTCAAAAGTTTTGAACAAAGTTTCTCCGAGATATATAACTATCAAGATACGGACCCTTTTTCATAGATAGCATATATAACATGCATTTTTTGAAAACTTGGTATCTCGAAAAGACTTTGTTCAAAACTTCTGAAATTTTTTATGTGAGCTAGTCTAGCTGAGTCCTTTATGTGGGCAAAATTTCAAGTCAAAATCCAAATGTATAGCTTTGGTGCAAAACTTGAGTGCTATAGAGAAAATTTACTAAAGATTCGATATCTCGTCAGGAACACACCATGGGCACGAACCCTTTTAGGGTTTTCTTAGTCTTACTCAGTCCTATTCGTAACCAAAATATGAGCGCGAGTAGCGTCCGACAGTTGGATATGTTCCCTCGTGAGATACAAAAAATGACTTTTTTTGTTTTGCAAATAATAAGAAAATAGATAAGATCTGTTTAACGCCAATTTACTTTATTTACTAACAATGGAAACATCATTAAGCTATTTGTATTTGATCACGAAATGCTTATCTAGAAATAAAACTATTGCTTTTGACTGGTTTTCATAGTTTATACTAACTATAAGTGATTTCAAGAGATTCCAAACGACACTAAAAGATTTTTAGTGATCCTATCCATTGATTTCAATGTCATGGAATCCAATATTTCTTCTTTACGTTATATAAAGACTTCGTCGTAGTTCATTTTTTTCTCATATTATCAAGTTCTTGAATAATTAAAGTTAATGAAAAATAAATGATTAACATCACACTATGTCAACATGAAAATTCATAATAGTTTTATAATTTTTAAAATAGCACATTTCAAGTAACACAACAAAAACAACTCTTATCCTTGTTGCTTGGTTTCAAATGATTTCTGTTTCTTCATGTTACTTGTAAAAGGATATTATAAACCGATTAATATAATATAACAGTATCTATCCAATTATATTCAATTAAGATGCACACAATTTTAAATTTCTGCAATTTTCTTTTGCATGTTTGAATAGAACGCATTGAGTTACCTAGAAACAGTGCCTCGTCAATTTTCAAAAAATTTCGAATTTTAGATTTCTTTACAAAAGATGTTCTTTGTTCATACATTTACGATTTTAACATTATTTTTCGTTCTATGCAATTCTGCAACTATTTTTTTCCGCTTTGCAACACAAAGTTGACTATAAAAAGAAAAAAATAATTTAAAAATTACTTTTTTTTTCCTAGTCAATTTTATATTACGCACATGAGAAAAAAATATTTCCAGAGTTGCATAGAGTAAAAAACATATTACATTCATGGATTCATAAACAAGGGACATCTTACGTCATGAAATCTAAAATTAGAGCTTTTTTGACAAACTTTTCTTTCCAAATTGGCAACGCACTTTTGCTAGGTTACTTAATATATTCTATTCAATCATGCAAAACAAGTGAAGAAAAAAAAAAACTTGCAAAAATATAGAATGGGTTGCACTTTACTTAATAGAAAATAACCATAAGCATCATATTCTCGTTATTTTTATGACAAAAACAATTAAAATTCAAAAGCTATTTCCTACTATCCACTTCACATTCCACATCACTTCCGCTCTTCCATTAGAACATATATATAAATACTAAGATTCTATCTCATTTCTTTATAATAAACTCAATATCATATGCACTTAAATGTACGATTATGGATAACATTGAAAACATTCTTGTATTTTAAAATCAAAGATTTTTTCGAACTATTTTAAAGAATACATTGTAACTAAAAAAGAATGAAGAATAATAATAAAAATAATATGTTTATTCATTTGTATTACATTACATATTGAAAGCTTATTCAAAATTATCTTAGAATTTAGCTATATTACTCATTTATTACAGGTGTTTACAATGTTTTTTTTTTCGCTTGATTTATAACAGAAGAAGTCAAACTTTACATTCAACAACTTCTTCAACCCATGCCGCGCGTGATAATTCTACTTTGTCTTCCGATAAGTATACTCTACGAAACATGCTATTATCAAATGACATACATTATCACAATTTACTAATGTATAGATATTATTCTGATAAAGTATAGAAAAACGTTAGATAATTTAAACTTTGATCATATCAAAATATTATTGTTATTGACTGTAAAATCATCTAAACATAAAATAAGAGATAATGTTAAGTAACTCAAACTCATAGATAACTTTCTCAAATAGTGAGATATATTGTTTATATATTCCAAAATACAATTAAAATAAGTTTTTAATTGAATTTATTGTCAGTTTTGATTAATAAATAAGAAGATTTTAGAATATCATTTTTATTATTTGATTAAAGAAATCCGTGCTAATAATACTTTCTGAGAAAGAAATTTATCTTGTTTTGTTTTATTTTTTCGTTGCTAATCAACTTAGAGAAAAATTGTCGGAAGTGTCGTCTTTTTCTTGTATGTGTAGAACAAAGCCATAAAAGAAAATAAAATAACCGTTACTCTCTATTATCGGTCGTAAGATTTTCTTTGGCATAAAAAAAAACAACAGAAGAAATTTTTTTCAAGCTAACATGAGCGAAAAAGACGCCTTTTTTAATATAATAACAAATGCTTATTACCCATAAAGGTGATACGACGCATAGAAATAGAAAGAAAAGGTAAGTCGAGTGAGCATTACAATCTAATCATCTAGTCGTCAGACAAGAAAAGGAAAAAAAAGAAGAGTGAAGTTTCTTTTATTACATTGATCATGCCTTGTTGTTCGCGTAAAAAAACAGATGGTATAGAACCACAACCAATTGGTATGTTAACAAAAATGTTTTGTTTTTGTAAAATTTATTTATTATTTTAATTAGACCGAAATAAAGAAAAGAGTGCAATAGACTCAAATAATTCTTCGAATTCTGGTTGAATATTTTATTAAATATCATATTTTTATAGGAGAAAAATATGTTTTTTTTTTAAAGTAGGAATTGACTATTCAATTACAATAAAAACAGGTAATTATGACAACTCAACTACAAATGGACCTGTTTATATAAAAATTTTTGGTCGCGACAATAAACAAACTGAAGATTTACTCTTAACGAATTCTCCTAATGATAAATCATTTCAATCAGATTCAATAAAAAAATTTTCAGTTAAAGGTGCTGATATTGGTAAACCACACCGTATTATTATTCGACATGAAGATAATGAAAATGAATGGTTTATTGATTATGTTGAAATATCAGTTCATAATTTTTTAATCAGGTGCTTTTTCTTTTTTACTATTTACTTAATTCAAAATGAAATAAATTATTATAATTTTCTTTAGATTCGTTGCTAATCGATGGTTAAGTGCAACAAAACACGATCAAAAATTATCCGTTGAACTCTTTGGCTCTGAACAACCAGGTTGAAATTCAAGAAAAAAAGAATAAAGATATTAGAAATTTGTTTGTTTTGTCTTTTTTTGTTTTCGTTTGATTATAGCTGCTCTATATAATGTAGAAGTTCAGACGGGTAGTGAACAAATTGAACCTCTGGATTCACCAGTCTATATACAAATACATGGAACAACAACAAGAACACCAAAAATTTTCTTAGAACCAAAAGATGCTTCATTTACGAAAGATTCAACAGTTAACTTTGATATTTCAAGTAATAATGTTGGAGAGGTAAAAAAAACAACAACAAAGAATTACAAAAATTATGTTTTTTTTTTGCCCTATTTTAATTTCCTTTCTGTGTTGTCAAGATTCAAAAAATTGTAATTGGACATGAAGGTACTGGTACAGTTAATGATTGGTATTTAAAAAATGTTAAAGTACAAACAAGTGCAGAACAACAAAAGTTCGTTTGCATATTATATTTTTCTTCGAAAAAAGAAACTTAAATGATTTATGTTTCAGATTTACTGTTAATAAATGGTTAAGTAAGACAAAAGGTGATCAAAAATTATTTGTTGAATTAAATCGTAATGCAATATCTCCACGTACTAAAAAGAAAAAAAAAGAAAAAAAATTCATTGAACTAAAAATTTTTATTATTATTCTTTAGCTGAAATCTATTCGATAACAATTCGAACAGCAGATGTTCAACGAATTGATACAATAGAAAATATTGAAATGAGTATTCATGGATCAAATGGACATATTGATAAAATCTTATTAAAAGATCACGTTAAATCAAATCAACAAAAAATTTTTCAAAAAGGAAGTTTAGATGAATTTGAAATAGAAGATAAAGATATTGGAGATGTAAAGATTATATTTAATCAAATTATTAAATTATTGTTGATTTCTTTTTGTTTTTTATAATAATAGATTGAAAGTATAACAATTGGATTTAATGATGATGAACAAATATTTGCTTGGCTTTTAGAATCTATCGATATTAAATATAAAGAAACAGTTTATCGGTAAGTCAATATTTATTTACCTGAAAAAAGAAACAGATTTATTCTATTTTTAGTTTTCAAACACAATGTTGGTTATCAAGTCGTTTAGGATCTAATTTTAGTTGGATAACAATCAAACCTGATACAAATAATGATAGTAAAATTTGTTATTCTAATAAGTTTTTGTATCACAACTTCAGAGAGAAAAGAAAAAGCTTCTTTTTTTTTTTTTGTTCTTGCTTTTATTAATCGAATTATCTAAAATCTTAAGAGGCATCATTCTTTTTATGTAGTATAGCAAAATCTTATTATCATTAATAGAAGATAAAAACAAAAATACAATAATTTCTTTCATTTAATATGATAGATATTAATTACAAAGTGATTATTGAAACGGGTGATTCTAAAATTGATGCTAATGTGATATTATGTATTTATGGTGATAAAGATACAACGAAAAATTTAGCTTTACGAACAACTAAAGATGGTAGATCAGCTAAATTTGATAAAGATAGTCGTTTAGAATTCGATTTAAAAGATATTGATGTTGGAAAAGTAAGTTTAGATTTATTGAAAATTTTATTTATATAAAATTCGTAATTTTTGTATGTTAATTAGATTCAAAAGATTAATATTGGACATGATGGAAAAGGTGATGAACAACAATGGTTTCTAAAATCAATCGAAATTGAAAAAAACGATGAATATTATCTGTAATTTACAAGTTAATAAAAAAAAGGAAAAGAAAAAAACTTTTTTTTTTTTGCAATTTAGATTTAAAGCTTATCGATGGTTAAGTGAAGAACAAGAAAATTTTATTGATCTGTTATCAGAAGAAACACTTGAAGAAGGTAAAAAAATTACGAAAAAGAATTATTAGAAATGATTTTTTTTCTTTGTTGTTTCAAAATAGATCAAATTTTATATAGAATTAAAATTATTACAAGTTCAGAAGATGATTCAGGTACAGATTCAAATGTATTTATGAAAATTTATGGTGAAAATGATCAAACAAAACGATTTCAATTGATTACAACTGAACAAGATTCAAAATTATTATTCAAAAAGGGTAAAACAGATAAATTTGATATTAAATTAAACGATGTTGGAAATGTATGTATTTTTGATAGAAATATTTTATAATTCTTTATACATAATTTCTTGTTCCTAAAATAGATACAAAAAATTAATATTGCACAAGATGGAAAAGGTCTTCATCCAGTTTGGCATTTAAAAACCGTAGAAATTCAAAAAGGAACAGAATTCTACAAGTATAAATAGATTTTTAAATTAAATATCAATAAAAATTCAATATTTACTATAGATTTAATGCTGATGAGATACTTGATTTGTCCATGTTAGATGTTGATCTAACACCTATGCCACATGGTATAAACAAAACAAATAATTTTTGTATATCTATCTTGAATTTTTTCTTTCAGTACGACTACAATCTCCTAAACCTATCAAATCAGAAACTCCACCGAAGAGCATAATAAAAGTACAAGGTATGTTAATTCTATATTCTTAACACGGTAAATATTTTCATTCTGATTAAAGAAACAATGTATGAAGTTTTGCTACGATTTGATTCACGTCAAGAAACTCCAATCGATGATGATAATAGTTTATATATGATTATATTTGGAGTTAATGGTCAAACAAAAAAAATGCCATTATTACTGAATAAAAATGGTGAAACTGAATTTAAAACAAATGATGTTGGAAAAGTTAGTTCTAATTTCATCAAGAATAACTTTATTTATGTTTTTGGTTTTTTTTTTTTTTTTAATATAAAATAGATTTCAAAAATAATTCTCGGACAAGATGAAACTAAACATCAAGTTATTTGGCATGTTGACAATATAATAATTAAACGAGGAAATGAAATAACAACGTAAGATGATGAAATATTTATTAGAGATAAATGAAAAATATTAAAAGATTTTTCAGAATATTAAATCTAGAAGTCACAATTTTCACTATGCTTTTTTCATTTCGAATAGATTTATTTTGTTTAGATGACTATAAATTAAAATTCGATAGAAAATACCAAGACTTATAAGTAAATTTGCTTAGATGTCTCCTTCCGATTTTCCTGATGTTTACCCTACAGATACTACATAGTGTTCTAGTAAAAATTCTAAAAGGATTTGAATTCTTATTTAGACTTTGCGCACATATAAAATTTCCACGAAATTCTTGTCCGAAGTGCAACTGCTAAACCGAAAGATTTTCTCCAATGGAAATGAATTCTTGGAAAATTTTCCTTTATTAAAAAAAAGCTAGATTTTCTTATTCACTCACATATTCAAAGAATACGAAAGAGAAATCCGTTTACTAAACACACAAAAAGATTATGTATAAAACAAACTAATCCATATTAATTATAAATTATTAAACGCAGTTTTTCACTCCAAAAAAAAAATGAATAGATTATTTACTTTAATAAAAGAAGAAGCTGTATACGAAGCTAATACTCTTATTGCTATAAGAGAAACATTTCTTTATTCGAATACTCAAATGAAAAAATTTCTTCCAACACGCATTGATGTGCACCAGTAACTTCTATACCTTTGTTTTTTAAAGGACTTCAAGTTTCCGAGAAATCATCTTTTCGAATTTTGTCCTGAGATTAATTTCACTGAAAGGTTTCACATCTACTAGTTTTTACTAAAGCATTTCAGAACTTTTGAGACTTTGTATCTTCAACATAGGAACTTTCGAAGATATTTTTGTACTGTATTATATTTTGAAAAGCTCATACGGCAGAGATATGAAATCTAAAAATTCTGAAAAACTCTTTGTACAAGCTGGTGTGCGTGAGACAAGAGAGAAACATCGAAAACTCCGTACTTCAAGTATATGTTAAAGTTATCCTCCAGAACTTCTTAGCTATTTTAAGATTATTATCAAGGTATGTCACGAGCATGTTAGTTTGACTCGATTTTATATACGTTTCTTTGATAATCAACATATTAAAAATTCTATATCTTCACTAAGTCTAAATCCTTTGAAGGTTTTTCTTTTAACGGGTAGTGCAAAAGTTCCCATAAACATGTTGCTTTATTTTTCATCGGCGAAAAAATCAAAAATTCTACATTGAAAGCACTTTTTAACTATATTTCCCAAAAAAATTTTATCACATTTCGCCTTTGAACAACGAGTAGAATCTTTAAATTACACACTAAAATATAGTATGTAAAAAGCAAGCCATAATCTCTGCGGTAGGAAGAACTGATCTTTAAGCGATGTCATATTTTTTTCTAAAGCAAAATCTAATAAAGAAAAAAGCAACAATTCTATGATGGAACACATAGGAGAAATTCAAAAAATACTAGAATATCGGTTCCTTCCACTGCAGCGATTGTGAATAGAGATGTAAGCCGTCGTGGCAACGAAAATTTTAAGAATTCCTCAGTCGTCATTGCTGAGCAACACAGGTGCAGTCGTTGCACCGTCACCGACACCTGAATGGGAAAATCAGAAGTTCTATACTCTGCATCTAGAATAATAAAAGTACAAAAAAACACTTTTATTAATTTTGATGATTTAAGTTTTATTTGTATCTGAATCATTATACAATGAAACCTGCAGAATTAAAACAACAGTTCGGACATGAATCAAAATTAATATTTTCGTAGAGATCGTTTTTTGTTCTGTCTCTATCGTTAAAAACTAAAATGGACAAGTTTTTTTAACATTTTGATATATATTAATTAAGTTTGTTCATCCTTAGAATCATTAGATCTTTTAATTTCGGATAAAGTTGGTTAATAATTCATCATTCATCTTCATAAATGTAATGTCTTGATTAAACTAACGTGTGAAATACAGTTGTTTAATTTTAGTTTTTTTGGAACGATTAATGATCAGATATTGAAATAAACAAGCATTTTCTTATCTATTCAGTTTCGAAATTTCCAGTTGCCGCCGCCGTGAGCATAAGAAAACTTACGTTTTTACAACCGCTCCCGATCGATTCCTCGGCTTACACTTCTAATCATTAGTGTGTATGGCTTCTCATTTCATATCATGTCATTGATAATATATATATATTTTTTTGTCAAAAGACCTTAAGAAAATGTTCCTAGAAAACCAATTCTATTGTTATTTCATAATCTAGATTTAATGTTGAACGTTCAATTGAACAAAATACTCAAATCGAACTAACACCTTCACCTATTCGAAAACCTTCAGGTAAACATAACACAATAATTGTACAAAATAAAAAAAAAATAAAACTTTTGCAATTTGATTTCTTCAGAAACCCCAACAATTGGTGTCGAAACGAAAGGTAAATACATAAACTGTTCGTTGTCAAGCGAATAGAAGATGTCTTTTTCGATAAAAAAAAACGAGAGAGAGAGAAAGAGAGAAAAAAAAGCACAGAGTCAATAGTAACGTTTGCTTACAGAACACAAGAAAATACAAACACTTTACTTTTTTTTTTAAATAAAATGAAAAGATCTCAATCAGCTAGACCAAGTAGTAAAAAACAAAATGGTAATCAGAAAAAAAACAAAACATCAATAAAAGATTTTTATATTAAATTGATTGTTTTTTCCTTTTTTTTGTATAGATATTGATTATGAAATTAAAACTACTACAGGTGAAAAATCATTTGATGGAAAAATAACATTTAAAATTCGTGGTGAACTTGGTATAATTACAATTCCATTAACAAAAACAAAAACTGATGCAAAACCATTTCAATCAAAAGCTACTGATGAATTTCTATGTCGAACAAATGATGTTGGAAAACTTCGACGAATTATAATTGAATATAATGGAACAAAAAATGATAATGTTTGGCATTTAAAAAAACTTCAAATTATTAAAGGAAATGAAATTTATAAGTATAAAAAAAAAAAAAAGAATTAAAAAATTTTTTTTAAACAAAGAATAATTTTTATGTAGTTTTAATACTAATATACGTCTTGATTATCATGAAAATAAAGTTACTCTTTATCCAAATGATCAAAGAAAAGAAGATTTTGTACAAACTGAATTACGTCGTTTAAGAGAAAATCTTCATAGTGAATCATTAAAACTACGTCGACCACTACAGTTTAGTTTTTTTTTCTTTTTCACTCTTTAAATCATCAATAATTTAATTTACTTATAGTAAAGCTCATGAACCATTTGTTTATAATGATTTAAGACCATATTTTGATACTAGTACTGTTGAAAAAGCAATTCATGAGGTAAAATATAACTTCTTTTTTTTTTTTAAAGAAAATTAAATTGACTTTTTTTTTTCGTCTTTTAGCCATTAGAAACTCCAACTGGTTATTATACACGTTTAACAGCACTTCGTATTGTTGAACCATGGGAAGCATATGGAATGGATTATGGAGTTAATTATGAATTGTTAAAACAACGGAGATATCGTACTCAAAGTGCTAAACGATCGTAAGTTATGTGTTATTTATTTATTTTTTTTCGTCTAATGCTTTTTACTACTCAAATTAATTCATTTGTTTTTTTTTCCTTAACTGCACATATTAGATTGCCCACTCAAAATGGTATGATGATTCTTCCACCACTTTCACTTCCGTTTGGTGGTCAAATAACATATGTTAATCCTGCTAAAAGTGATCGTTCACGTTCATCAGTATCATCTAAACGTCGATCTTCATCAAAACATAGTAATGAACAAATACAAATAACTACAATTGCTACTTAAATATACTTGTTAACTTAATTATCACATATTTGTGCATTGATGCTATTACTTGTAATAAATAAAAATATTTTTATGAATTTCACCATATAACAAAAAAAAAGATAATTTATAATAGGAAAATATTAGTTCTTTTGTTTTTTTTCGGATATTAATTACAGAACTATTAAAACAGATGATTCAATTGATCGAACACAAGGTTCAACTCATTTACCAGAATTTCCTTGTGTTGCTATGCAAAAACCTGCTGCATATCAACGAACATTGACATTAAATGATGTTTCGAAAATAAGGTTAGTTAAAATTTTCAAAAAATTATCTCTACAAAATAACATTAATTTATCTATTAAAAAGATCATTTCTACGAACTCATCATACTCTTAAAGCTGATTATCAAAAAGAAAAAGATTATAAACGAACACATGATGATTTTTATCGAATGAAATTAGACAATGCTGCTAGTCACACTCCAATAAATCGTGATAATATGGTACGTGTCTATCATTCATATCTTGGAACTACACCTGGTTCAAAGAAAGCTGTACGTGATCTTTGTGATCAAATACCTTTAAATGCTACTAAAACAACTGTTGAAACTACAGTTTAACACAAACATTTTTTCTTTTATTTAATACATTAGAAAAAAAAATTTGATACACTTCTTTTTTTTTTTTTAACACACACACACACACAAAATCTACATTGCATTGTTGCTATTATTTAAAGAAAATGGCATTAACCAAAAAAAAAAAAAACCGATAAAAGACAAAAAAAATTGCGTTGTAAAAAAAAAAGAGAAATCCAACACTGGACGGACAACAATGAATAATATAATAGAATAACGAAAATTCATGATAAACAATGTAATACTGAATACAATAATTAGATATTTTTAAAAATGCATGTCACCGTTTCGGAGAAATAAGTATATATATATACACAAATATATTTGACAAATGTGTATGACAGATATAATCTGACAAAAAAAAAAACAATGGCACAACACCGGCAATCTATCTAACATTAATTGGATGATGACCAAGAAACCGGATTTTGTCCATTTGATGTATAATCTAGCCAACTATAATCAGGTTTTGTATCGATAGCATCAAGAAAATTAATTTCCATATCCTTAGAAAAAAAAATATATATATATATAGATAAATTTTAATGACAAAAAAATTAACTTACAACAACAACATTTGTTGCTTCACGATGAAGCACTTCAAAAATACATTTTTGTACTTGTCCATCAGTATTCATTTGTAAACAAAGAAGACGTTCGGCAACTAAATGAAAGATAAACATTATTCTCATTCTTAACAAATTCGTCCGAATCTATTCATAGACCTTTTGTTTTCAAAAATATCAATTTTTTGAGCTTTCTACATAGTCGAATAGTTTTCACGATTTCGTAAAAAAATTCACAAGCAGAAAATGTTTGTTATGTAGTAAATGCGCTTTATATTGTAATCACTTGTGAATAGAAAAAAGAACCTGGACTTTCATAGTTCAATTTTGTTTGTACATCCCAGATTTTACATACTGGAAGGATTTCGGCAAATTTTAAATTGAAGAGAAAATTGTATTCAAGTATTTAACAAAGCTGGATTTTTTATTTTTGAGAAAAAATAAAAAAGACCTCGCACTCATATTTCCTGAAAATTTCAGCTAGATCGGTTGTTCTGAGACAAAAATAGATTTTTGACATGGGAAAGTCTTAAGTAGAAGTGTAGACCGATCGTTTGAGCCGCCGCTGTTACCAATGCTCAAGCCATCCAGTCGCAAAACTTCTATGATATATGGATTCCACTGCCAATACTCAAATGATTCAGCGGCGCTGTTGATAAGTCCAACCATCGCGAAACAACAAATGATACTTGAAAATTTTCAGTGACTGTCGCCGATCAATGCATGGGGTTAGATTTTTAATCTCAAAGATTTCGTGTAGAGAAAACTAAAAATTTCTAATTTTGTCTTTTTGACTTACTTAAAGCATCTAGTGCTCTTAATTTCGATAAAAGAAGAAGTAATTTAGAAAAATGCATTTGATCATTAATACGATGTTTTGTAATATATAATCTTTCAATTTCACAATAACGTATTTGAATTTGTTCGATTTTATTTCTAGTTATTTGACCTTCAATTCGATCTATGAATAAAAAACAAAAACAAAAAAAGAACTAATTAAATAAACATAAAATTATTTAATTATTAATATTTTACCATGACTAAAGAAAACAATACCACAAAGAAGAACAAATTCTTCAATAGTTAATTCTAATCGATTAAATATTCGACAAAATTGTAAAAATGTATGTCCATAACAACCAAAACCTTGTGTCATAAGTATATTTTCATCAACAAATAAACCATTTGATAAATATAATTTATCATCTTCAGATTCATAACGATAAGCTAAACGAAGTAATGCAATACTATGTACACCTAATTTAAGTAAATGTGCACGTTCTTGAATTGATAATTCATTATTTCCTGGTATTTGCATACAAAATTGTATACATTGCATAATACCTTTTTGACTAAATTCATCTGTTCTTTGCCAACGAAGATCTAATTTTTCCTAAATCAAAAACAAAAAAAAAATATATATAATATTTTGATTAAAATATTTTCTTAATTTACATTAATTTCTTGTAAAGATTTAAAATTAAACGTTGATTTATGTAAATTAACACAAATATTTATTAAATTTTCATCATCATCAATAGATATTAATTTTGGCTCTAATACAGGTAAATATTCTTTTGATGGTATTGATTGAATAGTTAAACATTTTTTTTGACGCTTTGTTGTTGTTGGTTTTATATTATTTTGATTTAATAATTTTTTTGTATGATTTAATATACGTAATTCTTCTTTACTCATACCAACAGAAAAACATTTTTGAAAACGCTAAAGAGATCAAAAAATAAAAATAAAAATAATTTCTGAGTGTGAAGGTTTTTTTATTACACAATATTGACATCGATTTCTTGTCATTTTATTTATTTCACAATTTTGATCTTTATGACATTGATATATCATATTTTTTTGTATACTGCGTCGAAAAAAACCCTATTGAAAAGTAAAAAATAATATCCAATTGAATGACGAAACAAAAATTCATACTTTGCAACCTAAGAAATATAATAAAAATGAATATTCTCTGATTAGAAAAACAAAAACGAATTGTTTAATTACCTTCACAACTCGAAACACCATAATGATAACCTGAACTTTTATCTCCACAAACAACACATGGTTTATAAATTCTTGGTGGTGGTAATGATGATGATGATGAAATTGGTTTCTTTATTGTTTGAATATTTACTTGTTGAATATTATATATTGGTTGATTTGATAGATCTTTTAAAAAAAAAACCTTATTCAAAAAACACAAAAGAAAACAATTTTACTTGTCGTATTATAAACAATATGTTCAATATTAAATGGTTGTTGATTGCTATTATATTGATTTGTATTACCATTGAAATATTGTGTTACTGCTTCAGTTTTAATTACTTGACCATTGATTATATTAACCTCCGAGCTAAAATATTCATCTACAGCTGTACCCATTAAAATATTGCCTAAAGGAAAAATTTTACATGAATAGATATAAATCATGTTTATAACTAAATATAATCATACGTTTCTATCATAAATTTTATTCAAAAATAAGAAAATGAATGTCATATTATAAATATGTATGAACTAAGAGATCTATTCGGATAACAATGTTTCCTATTAAAATAATTATTCTTAGAATTTATTTTCTCAGTTTGAATATATATTCTCTATAAAAATGAAAATGAAATAGATAAATATTTAACTTTTATTGCCAAGCATTCAGTTGACTACACCGAGTTTCGATCGAAAATTTCCATTTATTGTGAAGAAAAAACAAACATGTGTAGTCTAGTATTAATAGAGTGATTAATTACATTGTTTTCTCGTTCTATTAAACAAGATATCATCAATGCTTTTGTTAGATATTGTATTATTGATTATAGTCGGTGTATGACTAACATCAATCGTATGATGATCATCATTAGAGAAAGGATATCTGGTCTTATCTTTGCATGTTCATGTAAATAAGATGAATTTTTGTTGTCTATAGACCTTGTATCTACGTCTATTGTAATATTAATATGATACCTGTTGTACGATTTTTAGTTGATATATCAATATTATTATTATTATTATTATTATTATTTAAATTTAAAAGATTTTCATTTGTTGAATTGATTGATTCAATACAAGACATTGTATGATAATCATCTGTATGTTCACTAAAAAAATGATCATAATCAAAAGGTTCATGAATAAGTTCGTTATTTTCCATTGATTTTATTATTAAATATTTATCATTCTAATAATGAAGGAAAACATTAGAATTTTTTTTTTTTTAATAAATAAAATTCTTACTTGGGTTAAAATGAATGTTTAATAAATGAAAAGAATTGAATTGTATATGAACGTCTTTGTACACACAAGAGAATGAACGCGCATTTTTCTCTTTCTTTTTTTTTTTGCTTTCTGTCTTTCTCGACACAATGACCATAGGGAGACGTGTTGTTATATGTCTGTATTATTGTTGGTCAATGTTATCGTCCTCGACGCCGGTCGTTTTTTTTTCTTTCTCGACGAATGATTACTCAGACAGTTGTTAAGATGTTGGCTCAATGCCATATTTGACCATCATCAAAAGCAGGAAAAAAAAATTCAATTTCCTGTAGTAATGCTACTAGAATTTTTATTATGGTTTTTTTTTTTTTTTGTTGAACTCCAGATGACCCCAGCGATTTTTTTTTCTTCATCAAATAAAAACAATGACAAAAAAAAAAAAAGAGTTTGAAATTCGACAATTAACCATCACCGGATGCAAACATTAAAGAAGCCGATTGTTTATGATGAATAACTCCTGATGATGAATCGACATGGTTTTTTTCGATTATTGTTTGTTGTTCTAAATATTCACTAATTATTTTATATATATTCGTTTTTTCACGATCCGTTAATCGTAAAAAAATTTCATTTCGTTCAAGATCATCAGTTGGTGCATGTTTTAATATATTAAGAATTAATGATGAAAGATTTTCATCACGTGTTGAATATTCATGATACCAAGAACATAATGTACCTAAAATAAATCATTTTTGTTATTTCAAAAATAATCAAAATCAACTGTATAGTTTTAAAAAAAAACATTAGGTAGTGTCTTGTTTTTTTGCTGATTATATCTTTCATTGTATCACAAAAATCTTATGATAGAAAAACTAAATTTAATTTTTATACTAACAAGATAACTATTCGAAGTAGAGATTGCAGGCACAAGTTGTTTTGTAGAGAAAATTATTACAGAATTTATTCGTATCAAATTTAACAGAATTCTTCCGTTGTCTATTTCCTGGTCTATTCAGTCGATGACTAGTACTTTTTTGGTTCATCTCTCTTTAATTATGTTCTCATACGTAAAAATATGTGACGCTTCTCTTGCAGAATAAAAGAGTCATTTAGCCACACAACTGATGACTAAATTTCAAACCTTGAATTTTTTCTCATCCAAGTTGTATAGACAAATCTAATGCCTCTCTTCGAACG